AGGAGGCATAGGAGGCATAAGAGGCATGGGAGGCATAGGAGATATAGAAGGCATAAGAAGGAGGCATGAAAGGCATGGGAGGCATGGGAGGCCTGGGAGGCATGGGAGGTATGGCAGGCACGAAAGGAATGGGAAGCATGAGAGGCATGGGAGGAAGGCATAGGAAGCATAGAAGATATAGGAGGTATGGGATGCATAGCAGGCACGAGAGGCATAGGAGGCACAGGAGGCATAGGAAGTATAGGAAGCATAAGTGAGAGGTATATAAAAAAATAAAAGGCATGGCAAGCATGGGAAGCATGAGAGGCATAAGAGGCATAGGAAGTATAAAAGGGAGGCCTAGGACTTGCTCGAGGTCTGTAATATCGAAGTCAACTTTTGAAGTTGCGAAATTGACGCTAAACTTGAGATCATATGAAACGAGTCTAGTCATCTTAGCATTATATAAAAGGTAGCTGATCGAGAGATCTTGTAATGGTTTATATATGTATAAAAGAGGAGGCTCGAAGTAAAAAGGCGCGCGGAGCTCGGGATTGAATGTATTAAAGCCGAATGGAAAAGGACCGCGGTGGTGTATCTGAAGCTGGCAGACAGTGTAAGGGAAATGACGTCGCATTAATAATTAAAAAGCCGGGAGATTGAGGTATGTAAATGTGAAAGTGTAATTGAATGGTTTGAAATCGTGTATAAGAAGGAAATTCGTAGTAATTGAAGGAAGAGAGTTGTAGTAGAACTGCTGGCGGTAGCCAAGAGAAACAATCCTTTGAAAGGAGGTAGGAAACGTGGGCGCAAGGTATAACGTGCCTAAAAGGCCGCCTTATATAAAAATAGATACGATAAGATTCGTAATTATTTTAAATCGAGTTTATAAGAAAAAAAGTAGCTGTTTCGGATTGCTGTATGTCCCGGCTTGGTGGTACCAATCTGCGCTAGGTCGGGATGTTTAATAATAATACTTAAGGCAACCGACGATTAACAACCATTAACCCAAGACCTTTTGTTTACCTTCGATTGTCAGGTTTAGTATCTGATTTAAATAAGTAAGAAGAGATCTTAAGGAAAGTGGCTGGTGCTCGTCTCGGCTTGTCTCGGCTGATTTGTTTTGCTGCCGTGATCTGAACTGTCTCTTGGTGCCTACCTCACCTTTGTTTAGTCAATCTATAAACATATATCATCTTCTCATTTGTTTTCAATTGGCGTTAGAAAGCTCGATGCTGAAAAAAATTTGCACAATTCAGCTTCGGTTTGGATCTTTCAAATCGGCTACAAGACCTGGACCTTAACGGACCTCAACCTGGACCTGGACCTGGACCTGGCCTTGGACCTGGACCTGGACCTGGATCCGGATCTGGATCTGGATTTGGATGTGCAAATCAAAGCTTTTAAAGCACATTGATGAACATCTTGATTTAATATCGATTGCTTATCTCTTAGTAAGGAATCTGGTTTTCAATGTTAGTGAATACAAATTCTGATTGTTTTAATTGAAAGCTTATCGGATGCCCTTTTCTTGGGGCAGCCGCGGAAAAAAAGACTTTTAATTGATCTGATCAAGTACGATCCATTTAAAAGGCGGCTTATTACAAATATAGCTTGGATCGAGGGTTGGGTTAGTCGTTGCATCAATCAGACGATGGCTAGCCTGCATCCTGATGCCCCTTGCCTGCGGCAGCCGCGAAAAAAAGAAGGAAAAAGACTTTCGATTGATTTTATCAAGTAAGTTCCTTATAAAACGCGGTTTACTTGAATATAGCTGACTTCATATAGCTTGGATCAGGACGTTGGCTGTTGCATCAGTAATCAGACGATGGCTTGTATCTTCGCCTGTTATGATGTCCTTCTTGC